GCTGGAGGGAGCTGGCGACGGGCCCCTGAGACGCCCTGGGAGACCCCCTGTGCCCTGGGCCGTAGGTTCTCCCCCATCGGAGGAGGTACCTGCACCTTCCCTTAGCCCAGGGGTGGGGAACCCAAGGTCTGGAGGCTGAACCCAGCTCCCATGCCCCCCTCCTCAGCTTCCCCCATGGGGGTGGAGCACCCTGCTGTGGGATGATGCACCGCACCCTTTCCCCCCAGCTCCCTGGGCGTGAGGGGTTTTACTACGGGCCGGGTGCCAGCTCCTCTCCCTCCGGGCTCTGGGTGCTTTGGCTTCCACGGGCAGGGCCTAAGGAGAGACCTGCCCCCCCCTTCCACCGTCCCCGGCTAACGCCTCTCGTGTCTCCCCTTCCGCAGCTGCCTCGCTGTGGTGCTTCACGTGCGAGAAACAGGCCAGCAACTGGACATGCCTGAAGTTCACCAAGTGCGCGGCTGCGGACCGGCACTGCCTGACGATCGTTCGTAACACAGGGCTAGGTACGTGCCCGGCAGGGCTGTCCGGAGGGACGCACGGGGCCTGGGCACCCCCCCATCCCAGGCACAGGGCTCCTCCCACCTTGCTCAAGCCCCGCCCCTCGACCTCACCCCGCCTCCTGCCCCCTCCTCTAAGCAGTGCGGCCCAGGGGGCTGGCACAGGGGGGCAGCAGGAGACACCTCCTCCCCGCACTCACCACAGGGGGGCAGCCATGGTGGCTTGGCAGCCTGCTCCACTCCATCCCACCTGCCATCCTGCTGGCCCACTGCACCCCGCGAACACCCTGCCCCCAAGTAATCCCATGGGACCCCTCCATTGGATAGTTGAGGGGGCTGCTATGGGGCCCCCAAAAGCTGGCTGAAATCCAGCAGATCCTGGAGAGCAGTGTTCCCTCTTGATTTTTCCATCCATGGGCAGAATAAATTTTGTTATATGCGCTGCGGCATGTGCAGATGTGCACCACCCATAGAAACATGTGCCAGCTGTGGGCACTCTGCTAATCAGCTGGGGGGCACCTGGATTTCTCTTCGGTGGTGGCCTAAGCCCTCAGCTTACAGAAAACACTGCAGGGGACTCCCGGAGAGTGGAGAACGGGGGAGCCTTTGTGCAGGGGACGGGTCTAGGACTTGCAGCCCTCCCAGGAGGGGCGTGTCTGGAAGGCGGAGAACCTGCAGGGTGGCGTGAGCACCCCGGGGTCAAACACTCCAGCCTTTGTGGGGGGGTGAAAGTCCTGTCCCAGCTCTGCCGTCTAGAAACCCTTCCCCCGGTTTGAATACAGCCCCTTTGCTGCCCTGTTGCAACTGGCTGGAGGAGGCAGGGGGTGCACAGAGCCGGCGGGAGGAGTGGAGAGAGGCGAATGGAGGGACTAAGTTACTATCGTCGCCTAGGCTACGTCTCCACTATGAGTGTTCTCTGCCAAAAATATGCTAATGAGGGACTCATTTGCATGAGTCGTGATCTCATTTGCATATTTTCTGCCAAGACGTTGTCAGCCAGCGGGAGCCTGATGTGGCCAAAAAGCCTTTAAACGTGTTTTCTTAAAGGGGCAGAGCTTTTCTTTTTTTTTTTTTTGGTTCGCCCAAACATGATGGGGGCTCCTTTGAAAGGGGCCAAGGGGCAGTTTTTTTTTTTTTGCTCCACAACTTTGCCCTGGCTCTTCACGCTGGATGCACGGATATCTTGGCCACCCCTACCCTAGAGGATCAGCTCAAGCCCTTTATCAGATCTCAGCGCGCGGGAGAGACTTTTTAAGCTGCTTTCTCTTCCTTCTCCATGCTCCAGGCATATGGACCGTCAACAGGCAGATCACCAAGAAATGCTCCCCGATCTGCCCGCAGATGAATATCAACCTGGGCATCGCCTCTTTCACCACCGCTTGCTGCCAGCATTCGCTTTGCAACGTGGGGGGGAAGCCGGCGCTCAAGCCAGCTGCTCAGTGATGGGGCAAGAGGCTTGGGGCCTTCCCTAGAGACGGATTTGGGGAGGAGGCCCCGACGAACCTGCCCGAGTTTCCCCAATGAGAGACCGACACCTTCTGTGCATTGCATCCTCGCCACCAGGCCTCTATGCAAACAGCATCTCTGTTGCCCTTCTTCCTGGGGTGGTCCCCTGGCTTGTCTCTTGGAAGATGCATGGCCTTCTTCTGCGTGGTCCTGGCACTGGGCGGGGCTGACTGGTTTGGCCAGGTGAGGCAGGAGGACCCAGAATGCTACTCTGCAGAGAGGGTGCCTAGTGCTATCTCGGCCAGTTTCTATCATATTTCCTTTCTGACAGACATTTCTAGTCCATGTCACACTAGGATGACACAGGCTAGCACCTCCCTCCCCTCAATCATCCTTAGAGCAGATCTTTTAGAATAATCTCCCATCTTAATTTAAAATGTGCCAATGATGGCAAATCCACCAGGACCCTTGGGAAACTGGTCCAGTGACGAACCACCTTCCCTGTTCAAAATGTGCATCTTCTTTCCCTTCTGAAGGGACCCAGCTTCCGCTGGACTCATGCTAGATCTTCCTCTGCTAGATTGAAGACCCGTTATTGAAGATTTGCTCCTTAGATGCCTGTGTTGGGTAGAGTTCCAAACTGAGGGAGGGCCCCTGGTAAACAAGGGAGACAAAGAGAGAACCTGAGTTGTGTGGAAGCCTATTTCTTTGTGTCTGGGATTGTAGCTGTCCACTTTAATAAATGACTCCTGTTTAAGACGGATTGTGATTGTGTATACTAGGAAACGTCTGGGATTTGGTCTTTCTCATGAGTGCATCCCCCTTTTGGCTCTCTCCATTCCCCTAACATTGGCTTTTTTCACCATCACACAGCTGGTGGCATGAGTACTTTTTTCTCCACAGTTCCCGCCATGAAGAACAGCCATTTTTTATCTGTGCATCAGCCCATAGATTTCTTCGAAACTTCATCGAATAATGCCCATTTTTATCTCCCTTCCCTGAGGCAGCTAACCTCCCTCCCTCGCCTCCTAGTGTTGCTCTTTACGACTGAACGCTTTCATGTACTCACCATACAGGCTGCATCTAGACTGGCAAGTTTTCCCGCAAAAGCACCTGCTTTTGCGGAAAATCTTGCCAGCTGTCTACACTGGCCGCTTGAATTTGCGCAAGAACATTGACGATCTCATGTAAGATTGTCAGTGTTGTTGTGCAAATACTATGCTGCTCCCGTTCGGGAAAAAGCCCTCTTCTGCGTAAAAGAGCCAGTGTAGACAACTGAGAACTGTTGTGCGCAAAAAAGCCCTGATGGCGAAAATGACAATCGGGGCTTTCTTGCGCAAAACTGCGTCTAGATTGGCCACGGATGCTTTTCCGCCAAAAGTGCTTTTGCGCAAAAACGTCCGTGCCAATCTAGACGCTCTTTTCCGCAAATGCTTTTCACGGAAAAACTTTTCCGTTAAAAGCATTTGCAGAAAATCATGCCAGTCTAGACGTAGCCACAGTGTTTGTGCATCAGGTGTCTTCTGTGCCGTTTGCGGCCTGACGTTCTTACCCTTACACTGTTCCACGCTGCATACCATCAGTGGAATCACGTTCGTGCAACGCATAATAAAGAGAAACACCATGCGATTGCATGGGAGGATGCCTGTGTCAGAACGTTGACTGTCCCGTTGTCCGCTGTGGATTGTGATTCAATCATTTTTGCTTTTCTGAAAAGAAGTCTCTCAGCAATTCTTGGATGCTGTCATCAGGAGCATGTAAAGAAAAGAGTGATAGGCACATCTAAAGGCAAAAGGCCGTGCTCTCTTCTGTAGATTGGCTCCTTTCTACCACACGAGCAGGTCATCTGAGAAAGCCCCTAATTGAGGGAATGCAGCTGGTATAAAGCTGTCGTGGGCAGCTCCTGCATTGCCTGCCCCACTCCGGTGGGATGGGTGGCCAGGAGGTGAGACAAGGAAGGTGCAACTAGAGTTCACCAGTATTCACTTGGCGTAGGATCCCCTAGGCACCACAGCTAGATGGAATACATTTGAATAAATAAATTTGAATAAATAAAACTCTCACTCACACCAAGGCCAACACTGGTGCTGATCAGCCCAGGAAGTCAAAAATCTGGAACCGGCTCCTGGTCGGTACATCCCTCCCTTCCCGCACCAGCTGCAAGAAGTGGCTCCCAGCAAAAGAAAAGGACAGCTTTACCAACTGTGTTTCAATTGAGATCACAAACCCTCTGGGGGTGAAGGAAACGGGCGTAGGCGTCAGGTGATCTGGTGCTCTCCCAAAGTGAGGCTCTGTGCCTCAGTTTCCCCCTCTAGACAATGTTTACTTTGAAGGCTTACGGGGGACTGAAGTGAATTCACCCCGATGTTTGCAAAGTGCAGGGAGAGCCCAGGATGGAAAGTAGCTGTCCACTGAATGGCAAAGTCCACGGGATTGTTCCTACAGCCTGCGCTTGGCTTTCCTTCGCACCACTGGCAGATGTGACCCGAGCTCACCATCAAGCCCTGGTGCCGAACGCACTTCTGCCTTGCACGGCCATGCCCTTCTAGGGCTGGGACAGGGGTGCTCTCTGGGGCGGTCTTTGCTCCCGCGGGGTAGTTCTGGCCCGGCTGGGGAATCTGCGGACGCCCTTCTGGGTCATCGCTTTGAATCCAAGGCGGGTGGAGGGTGGGGGGTGGCGCTGAGACTCGGTAGTGCCGAAAACCACTCACCTCTGCACACGGCCTGATGTCCCTTCGGCTGGGGGGTGGGGTTGCGGCTCCGGCCCACCTAGAGATGCTAACGAAGCAGAAGAAATGTAGCGACTGAGCATGATCCACAGCCCACCTGGGAGATGGGTCCCCCCCCCCCCCCCCCCCC